TAAAATAAATAAAAAACTTAATATAAAAAAGCATGAAAGAAGGCAAAGCAAAAAAATGAAATGAAATCACCACAACCCATACATGCCGGTTTGTATATTACCGTTATAGAAATCATAGCTAAACAGTTGCCAGCATAACAATACATAAATTGAAGCGAAATAAACCAATAAAATGCTTAGCAAGCATAAAAAGACAATAGCAGCATCCATTAGAACATTTCATTTCATATGTACGCATACTTTTATAAGCGATTGTTGACTGTTATTGAGATTTTTTTTAAAGATGGATCAATAGCATCACTTACTATTCAATTCAAGTCAAACTCTTCTAATAATTGTCGCCGTTATTCAAATTTAGCAATGCGCTAAAATTTGTACAAATTTTCTGTACATAATTGAATATTTATTAGAAATGTGAAATTTGGAATTTTTAGGCCCTTACATGCACCGAAGTTCGTTGTACTAAAAATTACTACTAAGAACTTTTCATATGTTTTTAATTTTCCTTCTACAACATTTTTAGTACACGTATAATAAGTTCTAAATGCATTAATAGCTTTTGCTAGCAAAATTTTACTTTGTACTAAAAGTGTACTAAAAAAATTTACGGTAAACTATACTAAAGTGTATACAAAAATTTTTGTACATAGTTATATCTTTAATAAAAAGGTGCACTTGCAATTTGTACTAGAACTAGTACTAAAAACTTTCCATGAAAAATAAGCTCTTCAAAGCTTTGCTCTGTATGAAATGTACTGAAATTGACGCATGTCGGGCGTAGAAAGTTTGTGTACTAAAAAAATTAAACAAAACCACTACCATTTCGTATGTATGTATATAGATATGTACTATGTACTAAAATATAATTTTGCAGCAATTTTTTAACAAATATTTAAAACTATAAGTACTAAACTGCAACTCATGCCTGCTGATACTAAAAATTGCGTGTACTAAATAAAATGCCTACCAAACAGTACACCCAACTGCATATTTTCACAACGGACATTGTACTAAAATACTATTTTGTTTACTAAACCATTTGTATGTGCGTAAATAGCTGTACCGTAGGGTTATAACCGGTTAGGACGAACTAAAAATATTTATTTATTAATATTTACATTTTAGTACAGTGTACTAAAAAATTTTCCCTAAAATATTTTTAATTTATATTTTTAATATATTCAGCGCAGTTCTGTCGCTAAGTAATAAAAAAGTGCGCAAAAACCTGTATAAAATTGTGAACCAAAATATGTACTTAAATATAGTACTAAAATTTTTTATTAAAAATTATGCTGAACTTTTGTACATTATTAAATTTTTCCTAAAATTTCTCCTTCTAAAAAAATGTATATGAGAACTTTTTACCAACTAAAACATGTTCTAAATTTGTACTAAAATGTGTACTAAAAATTTGAACATTTTCAAATATTTTCTAGAGATTGTTAAAGCCAACTTTTTACGTAATTACACATACCGCAGTACTTTAGCACTAAAAATTAGTACTAAAACTGTTTTCGAAATATGTGAGTTTCACAATTGTGCAGCAATTTTTGTGCGCATATTTTACAGCTTTATGAATTTCCTCGTCGGCTTAGTTATTTATGCACATATACACCAATAATGTGTGTGCTAAAAATGTACTAAAAACTGACATCATCATTTCTAACTTAAAATCATGCCATTTACTGCTGTTGTACATTTTAATATTTCAAAGCAAAAGCTTTTGGCTGCATTTATACAAAACTAAAAGAAGTAAGCATCAATGTGTAATTAGTAAGAAAACCTAAAGAACTCATAAATATTTGTAAATAGCTAAATTTGTATTTACTGAGAATTCTGTATACATAACCATACCACATACATACATACTTATATAGTACTTAGTACTTTCGCTATCATTGCAGTAATACGCCTATACTCATGAGCATAGTAATAAATGCAAATAAATAATTCACATTCGAAAGGCTTAAACATGTATTAGAGTGGGTCGGTATTTTATGTATGAGCACATATTAGTAATATTTTCCATTTTTACTCTGAAAATCTTTTCTCTAAAAGGCAATATAAAATTTAGATCAAAAAATTTTTCTTGGAAAAGTCACTTAAAAAGTGCCGATCTAAGGTCGGAAAAGACGAGGGAAGGGGAGTGGTTGATGTCTTTAACGTCAAAAATGGTTTAACCGTTTTTTTTTTTTTTTTGTTTTTTTTTAATTTTATCGCTCCTTTCCATTAGATTTCAACTTATTGTGAATTTTTTCCCCTTTTTACGATTTTCACATGCTTCGATTTCCGGCAAAACTACGCGCATGTAGAGAAATGTTATATGACAAAGTGATAACAAATGAAGAGATCTATAACTTTTGTATAAACGTCTTTTTCACATAACCTCAAAATTCTTGTGAAGAATTGACATAACTCAAGTTTTTGTGATTTTTTATTTTTATCTTGTAAAAAATCCATTTCAGGCACTTAACTT